TTGAACTGCCAGCCTTCTGGTTAGCAGTCAAATGCCTTAGGCTTTATGCCACCACACAAAAACAGCATGCTAACTGGAGTCTCTGAGTGGTGCAAATCGTTAAGGATGTCAATTGCTAATCAAAAGGTTGTTGGTTGAAGTCCACCCAGAAGTGCCTTGGAAGAAAGGCCTGGTGATCTACTTCTGAAAAATCAGCCATTGAAAACTATGAAGCACAGTTCTACTCTGACACATATAGGGGTAATCATGAATCAGAATTGATCAAGAGAATTGGTAACTTGCAACCCTGCTAATTAAACTTAAATGTACACAAAAGATACATAAATACATACATACACACATGCATGCATACATACATGTAAATATATATTTAAAGTTTTCTAGCTTCCTGTGCAATTGAGCTTTCATTATTTTTCTTTTTATATTCAAGGATAAACCTAATGTAATATAATTTCTAACCAGGTTTCATTTTTCATCTCCTTATTTGTTCATTCTTCTTAAAAATGAGAAAGTTTCCACTGTCCTGGAATTGTTTTTTTTAGAATTCTTCAGAAACCAACAGCCTACTAACTCTGTTTGTTCAGTTCCCATCCTCCTGAAACCATCTACAGTCAGTGCTTTATATTTGCAGGTCTGCGTTCCTGGATTCAACCAACTGCAGATAAAACATATTTGGAAAGAGAAAAAAAAAAAAAAAAAAAGGCACTGAACCAGTCAACACAATCCATCATAGGCTAAGAGGTAGTGTGGAATGCTATTTACATAGGATTTACATTGCATTAAAAAAACAAAAAACAAACTCACTGCCACCGACTAAATTATGACTCATAGCAAACCCCTCCTTGGGTTTCTGAGGAGGTATCACTATGGAAGTAGATTGTCCAGATTTCCTTCTGAGGAGTGCCTTGTTGGTCTGAACCACCAGCCTTTTGGTTAGCAGTCAAATGTCTTAGGCACTATGCCACCAGAACTCCCTATATTATATGAGGTATTATAAATAATCTA